CGGTTTTATCGTCGTAGCAGCTGCACAGAGCCGTGGCGTGCCCCGCAGTCTTTGCTTCTTTTTTGAAAAGTCGGAGGAAGATGGAATCGAGGTTCAGGGCTTAGGGTTTGGGGTTCAGGGTTTAGGGGTTCAGGGTTTACGGTTTAGGGGTTGGGGAGCTTAAGAGTCACAACGCCACGCATGCGAAAGCAACCGCAAGCTCACGCAAGCTCCCAGCTGCCCTGCGAGTGCTTCACCTCAGCAGGTATCGAGACTTCGAAGGGCATGTCGAACAAATATGGCCAGCAAAAACCTGCGGACTATTTCGCACACGCGCACACACATATGTAGACATGTGTATTTGTATATATAATATATGTATAGATGTATATATGTATATATGTATATATGTATATACATATATATATATATATATATGTATATCTGTATATCTGTATGTCTGTATATCTGTATATCTGTATATCTGTTATATCTGTATATCTGTTATATCTGTATATCTGTATATATGTACATATGTGCATATGTACATATCTATATATGTACATATGCAAAAAATAGTACACGTGAATGTAGATGTGCAAATGATGTGCATATATGCATATATGCATATATGCATATACGTATATGGGTATAGACGTACATCTATACGTATGTATACATGTACATATGTATGTCTGTACATGTGGGGTGCAGGGTACAGGGTCAGGGGTGCTCGTGGACGAACCACTGCGAATCTCCTCCGCTTACTGCGGCCGGCAACGCGGCCCACTCGCCGGGTCAGGCAGGCCCTCCACTGAGACCCCTTTGGATATCAGCCTGCCTGCCGCAGATGCGTTTGAAAGCTCGGCTGCCGCCTTTTTTTCCGACCTGAGCAGCCGCTGCCGGAATACACGACTAGTTTCCTTGGGTACGACAAGCTCCCCCAACAGAATGGCAACCAAAGCTGAGCGTTCAGGGAAAGGTGGAAGAGGTTGAGGGCTTCGTTTCAAGGCACTGACGGATGGGGATCTCTCGACAAGCGGCTCAAGCGAGGCACCTTCAACATTACCGAACATGTCCTTGAATAGGAATACGCATGCCTATGTATATACATGTGTACAACGTATTATGTATATAGTTAAGCTATATTCACGAGAGCCAGCTCGATTGGAGTTCTCAGATATGGAGCCGCCCCTAGGGACCCTCTTGAGAATTCCGGGGTATTCGGGTTTAGGGTTTAGGGTTTAGGGGTACCCTGGATAGTCACATCAGTCTCCGCATGTGTGCTTGGCTTCGTGACTTAGTGTGCTAAAGGGAGAACAAGGTCATCTTCGCGATCTTGTGTTTAGAGCATCTAAGTCCTACCCGCCTGAAGTCTCCGAGCAGCCTCAGCAAAACTCACGTAGGCGCCGTGATGCGTGTGGGAGTTTCGGGCTGATTGGTTTGGGGGAAACCCTAAACCCTAAACCCTAAACCCTATAAACCCTAAACCCTAAACCCTAAACCCTAAACCCTATAAACCCTAAACTTCGCACCCGGCAGTTGCTCACGTGCTGCGGCACATGGAATAAAGAACTGGAATAAATGATCGTAGAGGAAAAACCCTGAGACGAGTGGTTTGAGAGCGATTTTGCGCGCAGAGGTACGCCGCACTGCATAGCGGAGCCTGGCTGCCAGTCTGAGACCCGGAACACTCCCGCCCTGAGCCCTGCAATCCAGAAGCTCAAGCCCTTAAAATGATGCTTGAAAACCCCTTTGAAAGCCTGGACAAGGCCGCGTGTGCGCACATGCCTTAAAAACCCTGAACCCTAAACCCTAAACCCCTCTATCTCAGGTTGGAACCAAAACTTGTTAGTAGGGTCCCTTGCCCTCCGTTATAGTGATCCGAAGTACGGGCCCTTCTGCATGTGGTGTTCCAGCATTCGTTTGTTGCATTGGGGTTGGTTGGTACATGCTCCCATTTGACGATGATTTGGGGTTCTCCGAGTTGACGATGTGCATAGTCAGAACTTGCAATCTGCGCTCTCTGATGTTGGCTTTCTACTCAAACCCTGAACCCTGAACCCTAGGCCCTCAACCCTAAACCCTAAACCCTTAACCCTAAACCCTAGAAAAAAGTTATAACCCTAAGCCCCTCAACCCGAAACCCCTAACACCCTTAAAACTCGAAGCCCTGAACCGTCACCTGGGGGGGGGGAGGGGGAGGAAACCCTAAACCCTAAACCCTAAACCCTAAACCCTAAACCCTAAACCCTAAACCCTAAACCCTAAACCCTAAACCCTAAACCCTAAACGGGGGGGGGCGGGAGGCCTGGGAGCTGAGCAAGACCAGGTTTCGGAAGCTGAGAGCTGAACCCATGATGGGCGACAGAGGAAGGTTGTTCCAGGGGCCTGTTTGGGGTTTAGGGTTTAGGGTTTAGGGTTTAGGGTTTAGGGTTTAGGGGGTTCAAGGGGCCCTTCTCGTGCACTAAACCCTGTTGCTCCGCAAGCCTACATGTTTGCGGTTGAGGGTGTTGGGGGACTTGGGCTAGGTGCCCATACACATCAACAACATCTCCGGCAGTGGGGAACCGTAAGGGACCCCGCAATGTAGCAAAGACCGCCAGACGGTAGCCCAGTGCCCCAAAAGGACATAAGCATAAGCATTTTATAGGGATATCCCTACCTCATTGGGCTTCATTATAAGGGGGTTGTGTATGGGATATCCCTACCCTAATTTTTTCTTATGTGCTTTTTGTTGGGGCCCTATTTTCCCGTTTTTTGGTTCAAGGTTCCGTTATACAGTGACCAACCCCAAAAAAAGGTGCCCTTTTGCCCCAGTACTTGTTATTCCTGGGTTACTCTTGGGTCCAATATAGGATATAACCCTAAGCCCTAAACCCTAAACCCTAAACACTACATGGTGTGTGTTAACCCTTAAGCTCAAAATAGCCCGCAAACCGTATGTAGCAAGGCCTTTTGGGCCTAAAGTAACAGTCCTTAGAGGCTACTTCCAACGGGGCTACTTAAGAACCCCCCCCCCCCCCGCCCTGAAAAGTGCAGATATCTTCTTACAGGGGCAAGAGAGGGGTTACTGTCTTTTAATTGTATTTTCATGTTTTTACCCTTTTTTTGGGTGGGGGGGGGGGGAGGCGGGGTTCCTAATTCCTAAGCAAATGGGGGTGTCTTGAGAGGCTGCGTTTAAAAGGGCATGCCATGCCGCCCGTCATGAGAAGCCGGGTACCTCGTGCGCGCTTGGAGCGAAGCATGAGGCTGTGGCCGATGGCGCGGATGTTGGGTTCTGGGGTTTTAGGCTTGTTAGGGTTTAGGGTTTAGGGTTTAGGGTTTGTGGTTTAGGGTTTAGGGTTTAGGTTTTAGGGTTTAGGGTTTAGGGTTAGGAGGCTTTGGCCGATGGTGCGGATTGTTTGGGTTTTGGGGTTTCAGGCTTGGGGGTTTAGGAGGCTTTGTTCGGGCTTAGGGTTCATGACGTGACATGCTGCTTGGGGATATCTCATGGTTTTCCTCATCGGGTGTCTAATTCTAGGGCCGGGAGTAGGCCAATTTTTCCTTTTTTTAGGGTTGGAGTTCCCTTATAATCCCCTTAAATCCAAAAAGGGTGCCCTTTTTATTCCTAGGTTACTTCCCGGGTCTAGAATTGCCTTATTCCGCAGTGTTTTGAGGGAGGGGGGGGAGGTTGCAGAGCTGCAGCTTCAGGTGCCCGCAAACCCTAAACCCTAAACCCTAAGCCCTAAACCCTAAACCCCAAACCCTAAGCCCTAAGCCCTAAACCCTAAGCCCTAAGCCCTAAACCCTAAACCCTAAACCCTAAACCCTAAACCCTAAACCCTAAACCCTGATCTGTCAGCCGTGTGCGTTGAGACTAGAGCCTCAGCGTTGCAACCGCTACTCCATGTTGACCAGGAAGGAGAATCATTTTCGCAAGCAACAGACATTGTGCATGGCCAAGGCACGCCGCAAAAAAGAATCAGATCTGGGATGTGCCCCTCTTTATAATAAGCAGTCCTGAAGAGATCTTATAGTGCCCCCTAGTAGAAGGGGGACCATCCCAAAATCAGATGTTCAACATCTGGGGAGTCTGCGGCGTTGCGTGTTGCACTTTGTGTTCGCTTGGGGTCAGAGAGGGGTTCAGGGAGGAGAAGTACCTTGAGTACGGTCAGACGAGAGGCTACCTTACAACCACTACATGGGAGTTTCCGAAATCAGGGGTACGTTACTGGGGTCCTTTTTATCATGGAATCCTACTCTACTATTTGGGAGGTTTACGAAAAGAAGGGACCCCTCATACACACCCCCCAAAATAGGATCCCCGTATGAGAATGACCCCAAGAGGGCACCGCTAATTTCGGAAGCTGCCTCCATTTGGGGGTTTATATTAGGGGCCTAAACCCTAAACCCTAAACTCTGAACCCCTTCTTTTCGTCGGCCCCCACATGTTTCGAAGGCTTACGAAGATGTTCCCCGCCCGGTGCCGATTGGAAGCTTTTGGTGGAGGGCTTGGGTTTAGGGTTTAGGGTTATAGGGTAATAGGGTTATAGGGTTTAGGGTTTCGGGTTTCGGGTTTTGGGTTTTGGGTTTTGGGTTTAGGGTTTAGGGTTGGAAGGTGAGTGCGAAGACCCAGCAACCCTGCAAGCCGCTCTTTTTTCCCACCCTTCTCGGACTTACCTTGGTAGCACAGTGGTACCTTTCGCACTTTTTTTGGTTCAAGGTTCCCTTAAAAAGTGAGCAACCCACAACAGGGTGCATTACAACAATATAGTAACTGGGCAAGCAAGCTACTCAAGCACACGTGGCATTACAGCTCTTGTAAGACTGCAGCCAAGAAAGACCTCACCGGCCCAGACCCGAAGGGCCAAGACCCCAGATAAGAAGGCCTTTGGGCCCGAAAACAGGCAAAAAAGGCCTTAAATAAACCCTAAACCCTAAACCCTAAACCCTAAACCCTAAACCCTAAACCCTAAACCCTAAACCCTAAGCCCTCCCTTAAGAACCCTTGGGTAGAATCGCACAGACGCAGCACCGCCATGGCCGGGCAGCCTGCGAAGCGCGCGCGCGTGGACTCGGGAGCCTCCGGCTGCATCTGGAGGATGAGACATTTAGGTTTTAGGGTTTAGGGTTTAGGGTTTAGGGTCCGTATTATGGGGGTTTCCGAAATTCGGGGTACCTTCAAAGTTTAGGGTTTAGGGTTTGGGGGTTTCCGATTTTAGGGGTACCTTCTTGCATCCCCTCCCTTCAGAACCCAAAAACTTGCTTTTTTTGCAGGTTGCCTAAGAATCCTATAAGGGGTGGTCTGGGAGTTCACAATAGCACGACAATTCATTGTGGTTTTCAAACTCCGACCAGCCGATCAGCTAATTGGCTGATTGACTGTGCGGTTATGGCTTTTCCAGGGTTTAGGGTGTAGGGTTTGGGTTTAGGGTTTAGGGTCAGGGTGGCTCATCGGCTGATTGGCTGATTGGCGGCCGCACGTTTTGCGGCCAAAAAACCGCGCACACTGCGATCATAGACTTTTGAATTATATGGAATCATTCCTTAAAAAAAGAATTCAAGAATCAGCGTCAGTTCTTCAAGGCCCCCCCCCCCCCCACCGCCTTTTGCGGCCTTCCGGACAAGCGAGACTCGGGAAGCCGAAAGGCCAGACCCGTCCGCTAAACACCCTGAACAGTGTTGAAGCAAACCTATGAGTTGGGAGGTCCCCCTCATTACTAGCAGTCCTTAAGAGGGATCATAATCAGGGGTACTAGAATCCCTATGAAGGACTGCAAGGATAAGGGGGCAACATCTTGACCCCAAGCCTTCAAGCCCTAAGCCCGAAACCCTAAACCAGAACCCAAAGAGCCCAAGAGCCCTTAGTTAAGGAATATACCTTAATTCATAAAAGGGATCCTTAAGGTAGATTCCTTACTTAAGGGGTATCGGGCTCTTTGGGAAGATGCGCTGCAAGACAGCGAGAGGCTACTGCATCAGCCCTCACCATGCGGGGGAGCTGCAGCGACACGGGCCGAGGCGCGAGGAGTCGGTGGGCAAACCCTAAACCCTAAACCCTAAGCCCCAAACCCTAAACCCTAAACCCTAAACCCTAAACCCTGTTTTCGGGTGCTTTGGGGGGGGGTACTTCGGGCGTGCTTAGGGGGTACTCAGCTTGAGGACCAAATTCTAAACCCTTAAGTTGGGGTCATATACCCCAAGCTACGAAATAACCCCCTATTGAGGTCTGTGGACCACAACCCCTTCTAGGGGTTTAGGGTTTAGGGTTTAGGGTTTAGGGTTTAGGGTTTAGGGTCCCCAAGGCAGGGGTGTAGGGCCAAGAACCTGAAGCCCGAAGCTTTGAACACCCTCAACTCCCAGAAGGGAGGAGGCCTGCGCGGTCCCAGAGCTTCGCGCACACGAAGCAGAGCCGGAGCAAACTGCCACTGTGTCTTTAGGCTTGGTTTTAGGGTTTAGGGTTTAGGGTTTAGGGTTTAGGGTTTAGCGGTTTCGGGTTCGGTTTCAAGTTTCAACCCAGCCTTTCGGCTTCCAAGTTCCCGCAGCCCTGAAGTACCCAAAGAGCCCAATACCCCTTAATTGAGGAATATACCGTAAATCATATTAAGGATCCCTTTATAAATTAAGGTATGTTCCTCAATTAACGGGTATTGGGCTCTTTGGGCAAGCCTAAACCCTAAACCCTAAACCCTAAACCCCAAACCCTAAACCCTAAACCCTAAACCCTAAAACCTAAACCCCTAAACCCTAAACCCTATAGGCAAGCGTAAGCTGTAGCAACGCTGTACATAATCCAGAACGGCAGCTTGGTCATTTGTGCCAAAGTCGTGCGAACAAGTTTTTGACTCTGGGCGTAACGCAGTCCATGGGGTCGCCGGGGCAGTGCTACAAGCCTGCGCATCCACCACCTCCATCTTACCTAATAGCGCTAGTGACGTTTCAGGAAGTAGGGAAAATGCGGTATTTGCAGAAAAGGGTTTTGAAGAGGTTCCTGAAGATGCTTGTCACCAACGCCACCGCGGGCATCTTGATCGGAAAGGGCGGGAGTGCCCTCAAGGACCTGCAGTTTAGGGTTTTAGGGTTTACGGTTTAGGGTTGAGGGTTTGGGGTTTAGGGTTTAGGGTTTAGGACCTGGCACAAGGGGCCAAGGGAGCCACGAACCCTGTAAGTCCTACGATCCATCCAGTAAAATGCAAACCTTAAACCCTAAACCCCGAAACCCCTAAAACCCCTATAACCCCTAAACCCTAAACCCTGATTCCTAAACAAGTTTGTACTAAAACCCTAAACCCTTGAACGAGACAGTCATAGCCACAGACATGGTGAAGTTCAGAGCAGAGCAATGACAGGCATTCTGATGTCTGGGAATCCACAGAGAAGAGCGGTTTTAGGGCTTCTAGGGTTTACAGGTCTTATCGGGTTTATGGATCTATGGGGTTTGCTTGTTTAAAGAAAGGCTTGAAGGGTGTATGTAGGGTTTGGGGATGGGGATGGGCTTCCAGGGCTTACCAGGCTTACATAGGGTTATAGGGCTTCTTATATAACTTGGTTTTTTTGCAACATCTTACAATTTTCAGGGTACTTAAACCCAATAAGGAATAACAATTTGGATTTTTTCATACGATCCCAACCGTGAACTAGATCAGGGTTTATGGGAGCAGCCCTCTCATCTCGCGCCAAACCGAAGGATCTCGAAACCAACTCTGGCTGCTGTGTGAAGCTTTCGCCCTCCGGCACCTTCTATCCTGGGAGTCACTTAGCTGCCTCAGCATGCCCCTATAAATTCTGCATGTGTAGATGCATATCTACATCTGCGCATGTATGTACATATATAGACATACATACATACCTACCTACCTACATGCATACATACGCGTATACGTGTGTGAAGTTACGCTACGGGAGTTAGTGCTACTTACAACGATTCATGGGCCTTCAAGTTGTTGGGGGATCTAACAGTTTTGGGTGGAGTTCGGGGAGCGAAGAAGGCGGCTGATGAACGTGTTCAGACCCCTGTCTTCACGGTCATGAGTGGGCTTTGGGGGTCGCTGCCCCTAAATCTCCCTAAGCCCTATCCTTTGAAGCCCCAAGAGCCGCTTAAGCATGAGGTTGAGATTTTCCTTGGGGGCTTCCTGGCAAGGAAGTCCCGACTTCTTCCGACGCAGTGATATGGTCACACTACAAGTTGATGGAAATGATGTGCCTGTCTTGGTGCCTTAGGCTAGAAGTAGATTGCACGAATGAATAAATTTTTGAGAAACAACAAGGCCCATCATTGTGCTACTTTTGATCCCCCCCCCCCCCCCCCCCCCCCCAACCCAATAAAGCATGCACGGATCGTAAGCAGTTCAGGCGGAGGCTACCGCGTTGTCGGTGTCTCCGGCCACGAGGCACTGGCTGGGTTGGGGTTTCGGGTTAGGGGTGTGTGAGGTTCTTTGGGGCTTCGGGGATCGCTTGGAAACATGCTCTCCCCCACTCGGCCGCGGAGGACTCGGTGGAACAAGTTCTGGCGAGCGTGCCCGACGTCTCGCTTTTGGAGTTTAGGGTTAGCTCGCTTCTGGGGTTTAGGGTTAAGTTACAATGCAAATAATAGTGGGTGTATAACTATGTACATCGGGAAAGGGAGAGTGGGCGGCTTGTTGTGGGTTGCTGCGTTCCTGTCCCCTATAGTCGTCTGACGACCTTACATTCTGAGTCTACAAGAGGGGCAGCCCTGTTTTGGTAGCTTAACAACGTTTATCACTTTCCATAAGAAGAGCCCACCATAAAGGGGACACTGCATAGTCGTTTGCTTTGGCCCAAGTAACCCTATTTAAGTCACTTAATATATTCCCCTGAACCCTAAGCCCTAAACCTAAACCCTAAACCCTAAACCCTACAGCAAGAACCCATTCATTCTGCGCGCCATCCCATAAGCAGGCGATCCCCGGGCTGAGTTCTCCACAAAGTTGCACTGGGTGGGAGGAGGGTTTAGGGTTTAGGTTTTAGGGTTTAGCGTCTCGCACTCTTTTGGTCGCCACGAAGGCAGGGAAGCCGGTTGGAGCTACACGGGGCGAGGCCACAAAGCGGCAGATGCCGAAGCCAGCGCCCTCGGTCAGCGAATGTATCCCAAACCTGCCACAGCAATCTGTATGTAAACCCTAAACCCTAAGCCCTAAACCCTAAACCTTAAACCCTCTAAGCCCTAAACCCTAAAACCTCGTTTGCCAGGTCCTCGAAGCCTCTTTCGAAGCCGAGCGACACATTGCGCCTGGGCTAGTTCCTCTGTTCTGACACCCATCTGGCGACCAGATGCCCAGAATTGAGCCATGTATGTGTATGAAACTACTGACTGATTAAGAGCCCCCCTGGGTTTAGGGTTTAGGGTTGAGGGCTTAGGGTAAGGGTTGGGATGTTCCCCCTTATCCTAACAGCCCTTAATGGGGATCTAGTACCACGTTCTAATCCCAATTAAGGACTGTTAGCATAAGAGGGAACATCCCACGTCATGACCACAGAACAAGGAAAGACACCTACATAGACGACCCATTGCAGTTCCTTGTTTCTTGTAGGCGGTGATGGGGGAGGGGGCGACAAAAACCCGCACAGCTTGCATTCTACTAGACGCATTTCTGGTTACTGTAGCACAGCATAACAAGAACACCACAAACGACACACGATCTAGAACTGGGGTAGAGACTACATTGCGACTTCAATATCAGACCTGCGAGGAAGACGTGAGGAGAAGACGCAAGGGTTTTCGATTTAGGGTTTAGAGTGGGTAAAGGGCTTGCGGAGCGACATGCAAGGCCATGTGTTGGCTGCCAAAATCCCTTTCAGCTACCGCAGAGTATCTATACATGTATATGTATGTGTGTTTGTGCATATAGATATGTACATCAATACATATATATATATATGTACATACATATATATACATGTATATGTATTTTAAGAACACGTGCCTTATATATGTGTCTGTGTATGTATGTATGTATGTATGCATGTATGTATGTATGTATGTATGTATGTACGTATGCATACTTGTATGTTTTTTTAGTTATTTAAATACATACTTTGTGTTTTTTCATGCAGGGCTCTGTGGACCTCAGAGCTTTAGGGTGCTCTGCAAGCCTTCTGTCAGCTTTGCACTCCCGACCTGAAGCCCCAAGCCCTAAACCCCAAACCCCAAACCCCAACCCTAAAAAACCTTAGTCCTAAACCTCAAACCCTAAACCCCAAGCCCTAAACCCCAAACCCTAAACCCCAAACCCTAAACCCCAAACCCTAAACCCCAAACCCTAAACCCTAAGCCCCACTAAACCCCTAAGATGCAGAGGCGCAGAAGGAGGGCCGCGAGGTCGAAGATAGGCCGGGCGGATCGGGGTTTAGGGTTTAGGGTTTAGGGTTTAGGGTTTAGGGTTTAGGGTTTAGGGTTTAGGGTTTAGGGTTTAGGGTTAAGGGTTAAGGGTTTGGGGTCTAGGGTCTAGGGTCTAGGGTCTAGGGTCTAGGGTTTAGGGTTCAAGGTTTAGTTTTTACATGGTCCCTTGTAAGGGTTTCCCAGTTAAGGGCCCATGTTAGGGGACCGTGTAACGCCCCGAAGAGTAGCTCCAGGTTGCAGCGCGTTGGTCAATTTTTATCCATGTAAATTGACATAGAATACGCACATAGAATGTAGCACACAGATATGTATACCCGCATGTGTATGAATGTACACGTCGTTCTTACTTGTGTATTGAAATTCGTACCTACATCTATATCAGTCTCTAGCCTTTCGCACGGCCAGGGTCCTGGCCCAAGCAGCTTGGCATGAATTCATTCATGAATCAGCTCACACCCCACCCCCAGCCCAAGCTGGGAATTGCATGTGGAAGCACGGGGGGGGAAGGGATGGGGGGGAGGAGGGGGGCTTGAGGGAGGGTGAGGGTTCAGGGTCCCAAGAGTATACCCAGAGACCATGTCGGAGATGAGGGCCCACAAGTGTGTGGGGTTTAGGGTTTAGGGTTTAGGGTTTAGGGTTTAGGGTTTAGGGTTTAGGGTTTAGGGTTTAGGGTTTAGGGTTTGTTACGCCACAAGATCTCATCCCGTGGTGTTTGCAGCAGGCTGCCGTCGGCACCCGCAGGACTTCCAAACACAGTCCCACCTAACCAGGGAGCAGGAAACTTGTAAGTAGGTTATGACCAGAGTCAGGATACCCTAAACCCTAAGCCCTAAACCCTAAACCCCAAACCCTAAACCCTACAACTCACGGTGCTTGGAACCCGATAGTTGTTCCTCTGCGGACGAAGCTCCCTGAACCTCCACCCCTAAACCCTAAACCCTAAGCCCTCAACCCTAAACCCTAAACCCGAAACCCTAAACCCTAAACCCTAAACCCTAAACCCTAAACCCTAAACCCTAAACCCAGCCCTGCATAAGTCACGGGAGTAACCTGCTTTGAAGCCGCCCGCTTGATCCCATAAAGCGGGCGTGAACCCAAAACCCCTCAACCCTGAAGCAGGGTTTAGGGTTTAGGGTTAGGGTTTAGGGTTTAGGGTTTAGGGTTCAGGGTTCAGGGTTTAGGGTTTAGGTTCAGGGTTTAGGGTTTAGGCCCGAAACCGCGAGGATTTGTATAGAAACGCTGTGCGTTTTTTAGGTTGCTTGGGTGTGTGCGATGAACTGGGGCGCCTGAGGATGTGTCCACTTGCTGGTTCAGGGGGTTTTCGGGTTTTGGCTGAGGAAGCCCTAAACCCTAGAGTCTCTCAGGATTTCATTTCGGTGCCGTCCTCATTTCAGACACCCTTTTTTTGCAAATGGTTTAATGAAATTCTACCTATAGTTCTTAGTCGTGCATACGCCTGAATTCGTAGTCCTTACACTTCCAGCGATTGCTGGAGCCAAAACGACCAACACCATCACACAAACTCAAAGAACGTTCTGGTTAGTCGGCCCATTCGCCCTCAAATCCTCAAACCGGAGAACCCTAAACCCTAAAAACCCTGCGGCTATGAACAAATCCCTGCATCTGAACCCTAAACCCAAACAGGGCAAGTCGGGTGAAGCAGGCGAGGCAGGGGGGGGGGGGGGGGGGGGGACCCAGGTTGCCATGCCTTTCACCTCCTGCGGCCTCGTTATCGGAAAGAGCGGAGCCTTGGATCACAGAAGGAACGCTGAGTGTCGCAACGGTATCGAATGTTTGGGGCTTAGGGTTTACGGTGCCTTCAGCTGTTCTGAGCTGCTCAGCTCCCAAACCCCCCCCCCCAAAAAAAAAAAAAAGATAGCTCTAACTGAGACTTCCTCTCCCGTTACCTGCAGGCTCTAATGTAGTTCCTTTTTGGTTTAGTTGTAGGGGATGCTAGTATACTACCCCAAAAAGGTACTACATAGGAGCCTTTGGGTAAGAAAGGAGGAAAGGAGTTAGGCATCCCTCTCCTCTGCTTTTCTGAAGCAGGATTGCTTCCGATGCGCTTATACCCCAGACCCCTTAGACGACCCTACTTTCCACCCTCAACCCTAAACCCTAAACCCTAAACCCTAAACCCTAAACCCTAAACAGACCCAGGAGCCATGCAGAAAGAGATTGGAGAGAAGACAGGCCGGAACCATCCACAACGTGTGAACCCCTGGTTCTTGGGACGGAAGGCTGCAGCCCTTTTCCCTTTTTAGGGTTTAGGGTTTAGGGTTTGGGGTTTAGGGTTTAGGGTTTAGGGTTTAGGGTTTAGGGTTTAGGGTTTAGGGTTCCCGTACAAAATAACCAACCGCAAAAGGGTACCCTTACTAGAGTATGCTTCCTGACCTACCAAGAATCCCCTGGGTCTTAGTAGGGAATGGGGGAATGAGGGCCCCATATCATCCCTTCAAGGGTATAGAGACCCTCATTCCCTTATTCCCTACTAAGAACCAGCCAGGAATTAAGGGTATAGAGCTCCAGCTTGCAGGCATCATGGTCAAGATTACGCCGCAGGGCCAGAACGTGGTGCCGAATGAGAGCTCCTTGGACACTCAGAGGTGCCCCGGGTTTAGGGTTTAGGGTTTAGGGTTTAGGGTTGAGGGCTTAGGGTTTAGGGTTTTCCGAAACACGAAGCCCCTGCCTGTAAACCATGAACCTTACACCCTTGTATTAAGCCCCTGTGTATCTGTAGATGTGTATACGAAGTTATAGGGTACCCAGTTTGACGACCTGATGTGAAGATGCCCGAGCCCTATGTGCTGCGCCGCTCCCCCGCCCCCCCCTCAACCTCCAGCCATGAGACGCCCTAAGCCCCATCAAGAGTTTAGGGCCCTAAACCCCAAACCCTAAGCCCTAAACCCTAATGCTTAGCGTGCTCGTGGCTTTCAGCCTTGAACGGTTTCGAGGATGCCGGTCCGTGTGAGTGATCCTTTTGAGGTGCTCGTGCTATGGTTCAGGGTTCATAGCGGTTTGGGTTTAGGGTTTACTGGGGCTTTCTTTGCCTGCAGTTTAGTCGTAACTGCCCCTTAACTAGTAGGTATAGCCCAGAAAACTGCAGGTAAAGAGAGTCCCAGGTAGGGTTAAGGGTTTAGGGTTTGGAGTTGCTTGAGCTTCCACACGCTGCGCTCAAACCCCAAACCCTAAACCCTAAGCCCCAAACCACGCATAGTCTAACAGACAACTCCCTCCCCTGCCTGCACAGGGGACACTTTTCGCCTTCACCGACTGCCGGAGTAAAGACAACCCCCCAACCACAAAGCCTGAACCGGTTAGGGTTTAGGGTTTAGGGTTTGGGGTTTGGGGTCTGGGGTCTTGAGATCTTTTGCTTTGAGACGAGACTCCACCTTGCGGGGTTTAGGGTTAAACCTTTTGGGTTTGGGTTTCGGGCTAGGGTTTAGGGTTTAGGGTTTAGGGTTTAGGGTTTAGGGTTTAGGGTTTAGGGTTTAGGGTTTAGGGTTTAGGGTTTAGGGTTTAGGGTTTAGGGTTTAGGGTTTAGGGTTTAGGGTGTAGGGTTACAGAAGAAAATACTCCAGGCTGCGAGGTACCAAGGTATCATGACGTCGTCCATCCACAACTCTTTTCGCCAAGGGGAAGTCTAGGAAGGAACCCTCTTGAGCCCCTGGAGGTTTAGGGTTTAGGGTTTAGGGTTTAGGGTTTGGGGTTTGGGGTTTGGGGTTTGGGGTTTAGGGTTTAGGGTTTAGGGTTTAGGGCTGCTGCCTTTGCGCCTGAGAAAATTGAAAAGAGGCCACATGCGCTAACTTCGACTTTCACGGGATGCAGCCTGTTCGAGAGTCACCCTTAAACCCCAAAACCCTAAACCCTAAACCCTTAAACCCTAAACCCTAAACCCTTAAACCCTAAACCCTAAACCCTTAAACCCTAAACCCTAAACCCAAAACCCTTAAACCCTAAACCCTAAACCCGAAACCCTAAACCCTAAACCCTCCCTGTTGCTGCCCGAGGAATCGCCACGTTGCAGGGCTCCCTGGGATCCGTCATCGCCGCGGCGACGCAGGCGGGGGCTTAGGATCTTTGTAGGCCCCCCTAAACCCTAAACCCTAAACCCTAAACCCTAAACCCTAAACCCTAAACCCTAAACCCTAAACCAGGAAGGAGCCCTCCAGCTGCAGCGTCGTCTGGCGGAAAGACCCCTAAACTCCAAGAGCTTCACTTTGCGAGGTCTTCCGGCTCATACAGTCGGACGCCTCACTCGGCACTCACATGGTTGCTCGGAAGCAGGGTTCGGGGTTTAGGGTTTAGGGTTTAGGGTTTAGGGTTGAGGGAGTTGAATGGCCAGTGAGACATACTCGTGGCGCCTCAACGGCCATTGGGGATTTGGATACTTTGGAGCCTTTACGGTTCAGCTTGTCTTCCTAGGAGTTGGTCGAATCAACCCTATACTGAAAAGATTTCTTCAGAAAAAACGATTTGCACTCATCACTCTGCTATGCCGGCTCTACTTCATCTTTCCTTGAAGTTGCCCCGAAATACACGTAACATGTTTTAGGGTCGATGGCGTTAAGTGTCTGGATTTTCTATATATAGGGTTTAGTCCTAGGTTAGGCCCTAACGCCCTTTCTTTAAGGTTTAGGTTCCCGTCGCAGCCTGCTTTAACCAAAACAGGGTACCCTCTCATTCCTATGTTCCTCTGGGTCTAGTTTAAGACAGGGACTACCCTAAGATATAGGATTCCCTAAACCCTAAACCCTAAACCCTAAACCCTAAACCCTAAACCCTAAACCTACTAAGTTCCCTGGTCTCCAGAGTTATGGGTGCCAGGAGACACCGGCAGAGGGCGGCTTCGCCCACTTCCAACCGCAGGCGGAGCCTCGCCCCAAACCCCAAACCCCAAACCCCAAACCCCAAACCCCAAACCCCAAACCCCAAACCCCAAACCCCAAACCCCACACCCCAAACCCCAAACCCCAAACCCCAAACCCCAAACCCCACACCCCAAACCCCAAACCCCAAACCCCAAACCCCAAACCCCAAACCCCAAACCCCAAACCCCAAACCCCAAACCCCAAACCCAAACCCCAAACCCCCACCCCAAACCCTAAACCCTAAACCCTAAACCCTAAACCCTAAACCCTAAACCCTAAACCCTAAACCCTAAACCCTAAACCCTAAACCCTAAACCCTAAACCCTAAACCATAAAACCTAAACCCTAAACCCTAAACCCTAAACCCTAAACCCTAAACCCTAAACCCTAAACCCTAAACCCTAAACCCTAAACCCTAAACCCCAACCCAAAAAGGTTTAACCCTAAACCCTAAACCCCAACCCAAAAAGGTTTAACCCTAAACCCCGCAAGGTGTAGGGATCCTACGCCCGATTCCTCTCAATCCCATTAAAACCCCTCGACCCCCCGGCTTTTTTTTAGGGTTTAGGGTTTAGGGTTTAGGGTTTAGGGTTTAGGGTTTAGGGTTTAGGGTTTAGGGTTTAGGGTTTAGGGTTGAGGCCAGGTGGAACCTGTAGTCGATTTCTTGTGAGACGGGTGTCGGGCTGCTTCACTAGCAGAGGCCAGGAGGAGATGGTCATCATGTGGTTCAAATAGCATGAGTTGTAGCTGTAGCAGGGCGAAAGGATGGCGACGAAGGATGTGCTAGTGTAACAGCACAGCAGCACTAGCAACAACAGCAACAGCAGCAACAGGCAGCGGCGGCGGCGGCAGCAGCAGCAGCAGCGAGAGCGAGAGCAAGAGCGACAGCGACAGTAAGAGCGACAGCGAAAGTAAGAGCCTGAGAGCCATTTGGACAAGCCCACTAAACCCTAAACCCTAAACCCTGAACCCCAAACCCGAAACCCTGGCAGTAGCTAGACCTCCCAGGTCATTGAGCCGTGGCAGCCCGCACCGCCGCCCAGGGCTGCTGCCACCCCCAGGGCTGTCCCGCCGCCGAGGCCATGCAATTTATTATGTGAGTTTAAAAATTATGTGAGTTTAAAAAAAAAACATTTCCTTGTATCACCAAAAAGGACACCCACTATATACACTCAACAATAATACGAAGGAACCTTCTGTACACTCACCAATAACAGTAATATGAATCCTGTTTCATGTATGTATCATGCATACTTTATGTACATAATATGTTTTGCGTATTTTTGGAATTGTATATATTCTGTGTTTACAATATATATATATATATATATATAGATGTATATATGTATACATACATATACATATACATCTGCATATACATCTGCATATACATATACATATATATATATATATATGTATGCATGTATGTATACATACATACATACATACATACATACATACATACATACAATGTCTGTATGTATGTATGTATGTATGTATGTATGTATGTATGTATGTATGTATGTATGTATGTATGTACGTATGTATGTGTGTGTTTCTGGTTTTGTGTGCGTTTGTTTTTTTACAAGCACCTTTTAAGGTGTTTAGGGTTTTGTGTTCAGGGCATTTTCCCTTTGCAATCGTTTCGTTTGTTACGTTCGGGCGTTTGTGGGGCCTGTATGAGGATTTGTCGAGGGGTTTGTTGTAGGGTTTGGATGAGCAGCGTTTCGCTGGGGCCGTTTGTAGGGTGCTAGTCGGGCTTTCTGAGAGATGCGGGGCCAAGGTTTTGCCGTGGCATGAAGGACAAAGACTTCCGGACACTTCATATGGGCAGGTTACACCCTACACCCTACACCCTAAACCCTAAACCCCCCGACTGCGGAGGGCCATCTGACATTTGTTCTCCCATCCATGCCATTGTAGGCCAGCCACCTGACCTGTTCCGCTTGGTGTTAGTATTGTTGTAAGCACCGCAACTCGGGTCATCAAGATTGCAGCCTGATATGCAACTGAACCCTAAACCCTAAACCCTAAACCCTGAATACAGTGGGTTTCCGTGAGTCCTCAAAATTCCGGGATATCTGAATCTTCGCAGCGATGCCAAATCCTCCTCAGGGGAGACTGGAGCGCCATGGTCTCACCCCCCGCAGCAGTAGCTGCATGGCAGAAGGCTTAGGGCTTCGGGCTTGGTAGGCTTGGTAGGCTTGGGGCTTAAGGGCTTGAGGGCTTAAGGGCTTAAGGGCTTAAGGGCTTAAGGGCTTAAGGGCTTAAGGGCTTAAGGGCTTAGGGGCTTAGGGGCTTAGGGGCTTAGGGGCTTAGGGGCTTAGGGGCTTAGGGGCTTAGGCTTAAGGGCTTCGGGGAATGGAGTTTGAGTTCACACCCGGAAAGGGCTCGTGAGTTGAGAGTTGCGGCATGTTTCGGCTCGTGCTCTTCTGGCTTTGGGGTGTGGGCTTGTTACTCCAGAGTCCACTCCTAGGATGCCCAGTAGTACCCTTATTCCCTTTTTGGTAGGTTCAGTTTCCCTTACAACCCCTTTAAGCAAAAAAGGGCACCCTTTTTCATCCTAGGTTACTGGGCAAAGTAGACTCAGGGTCCGCACAGTCTCGCAAGTTTTCTTTCAAGGGCCTCAAGCGGCTCGCCTCGACTTAGAGCTAGAGTCTAGGGGTTAGGGTTTGTTTGGGGTTTGAGGTTTAGGGCTTAGGGCTTAGGGCTTAGGGTTTAGTGCTTAGGGCTTAGGGTTTAGGGTTTAGGGCTTAGGGCTTGGGGCTTAGGGTTTAGGGAAGCGCTTCAAGGCAAAGCCGTTCAACTCCGGCACGGGAGACTTCGGTGGAGGCGAGCCTGAGCAAGCCAGTCCTCCACCACATAAGAGGGGCTTCGGGTTTGGCCTTGGGGGTAGGGTTTGCGGTTTACCCTAACCCTAAACCCTAAACCCTAAACCCTAATCCCGCAACCCTAAACCGTTTAGGGTTTAGGGTGGGTTTGCAGCCTCAGGGCCTGCTTTGAAGGACAGGGGCATCCAAGACAGCCATGCAAGATGGCATGGAGATTTCTTTGTGCAGCTTGAGCAGCGTCCGATGTGCCCCCTAAACCCTTGAAAGCCGCCGTTCTGAAAAACCCTAACCCAAAACCCTATACCCTAAACCCCTAACCCCTAAACCCTAAACCCTATAAACCCTAAACCCTAAAGCCGAGAGCCTAAAGCCTAAAGCCACCCTGCAAACCTGCCAATTCTTGAAGTCTCCAGGGACTCCCTGCTCAATCTTCTTCGAAGTCACGGATTCCGAGGCGGCACACATCATCGGCAGCTCAGATGAAGGGGGGGGGGGGGGAGGGTTGGGGTTTACGGGTTTTAGGGGGGTTTCAGGGGGTTTACTGCTTTTTTTGGATCTGGACCGCAGGGCCCCCAACCTGGTTTAGAGTTGATAGAACGCAGGGTTTACAGGGCTCATGGGGGTCCGGGAGTCTAGGGCTGATAGAAGTTAGGGTTCATAGTCTTCATAGGGTTTAGAGTTGATGGAATTGAGGGTTCAGAGGGTTCGTAGGGTTTAGGGCGCACCAAACAGGGGGGTTTCCGAAATTGGGGGGTCCCTTGCTGGGGTCCTTATTCTCAGGGAATCCTACTATTTGGGGCACTTTTCTAGAGGTCCCCTATTTTCCCTAAACCCTAAACCCTAAACCCTAAACCCTAAACCCTAAACCCTAAACCCTAAACCCTAAACCCTAAACCCTAAACCCTAAACCCTCACCCTCCAAACCCCGCATGGCCATTGCTGCCCGAGGCAAGGCGGGATCTTACCTGCAAATGGTCTCGAGCTCAGAGACCGAGCTGCTTCCCAAAGAGCCCAATATAGGGTTTAGGGTTTAGGGTTGGGGGTTTGGGGTTTGGGGTTTAGGGTTTGGGGTTTGGGGTTTAGGGTTTAGGGTTTAGGGTTAAGAATATTCCTTAAATCATATTGAGGATCCCTGTACAAGTTATGGTCTATTCCTTAATTATGGGACATTGGGCTCTTTGGGTTCGCTTCAGGATTTAGGGCTTTATAGTAAACTCCAGAAAGTTGGAACATCATCAACCCAGCACTAATCATCGCACACCCATGTTCCAACTTTCCGGAGTTTACTGTAGGGGCTCTTTAGGGGTTTAGGGATTTGGGGTTTAGGGTTTAGGGTTTAGGGGTTCAGGGGTTCAGGGTTCGGGGTTCAGGTCAGAAACGCGCCACCGAAACCAAGCGCTGCTGGCCTTGCAGCCTGACATGTTGAGTCTCCAAGTCCACACAAACTCTGAATTTCTCACAACTAGGTTTAGGGTATAGGGTTTAGGGCTTAGGGTTTAGTAGTAATTTGATACTTAACTAGTCGTATGCTCGGAAGGTCAACAGGGCCCAGCCGACACACTCCCAAAGAGCCCAAGACCCCTTAATTAAGGAATATACCTTCAATCATATTCAGTTAATTAAGGAATATACCTTCAATCATATTCAGTTAAATAAGGAATATACCTTCAATCATATTCAGTTAATTAAGGAATATACCTTCAATCATAGTCAGGATCCCTTTATGAATTATGTTCTTTTCCTTTGTTAAGGGGTACTCTTTGGGCTGAGGTGTGCCAAGACACCGGTGCCAAGGTGCAGCTCACCAAGAGAGGCACCAGCTTAGGGCACCCAAGCCGAAAGCGCCGAAGCCCCTGAACCCTAAACCCTAAACCCTAAACCCTAAACCCTAAACCCTAAACCCTAAACCCTATACCGTCAGGGCATAGGCCCAGGAAGGAAGTAGAGGCTTGGATCTCTAAGCAGGATGGACCCCAAAGACCGCGTAAACCCCATAAGACGTCTAAGTCCTACCCTTAAATTGTGCCTTCCCTTGAGGACCTAAACCCTAAACCCTAAACCCCAAACCCCAAACCCTAAACCCTAAACCCCAAACCCCAAACCTCAAACCCCAAACCCCAAACCCCAAAACCTAAACGCAAATGAACCCCCCATGTTGGGGTCATATTACCCAATACTACTCTAATCCCTATGAAGGGGATCCATATCCCCATTTAGGGTTCATGTGGTCCCCAAGGTTGAACACCCAAAACCTACCTTTTCGGTAGGTTCCTGATAAACCTGCAAGGGGTTTTGAATGATAAGAATCTACAAAAAAGTAGGTTCTGGGTTCTTAGAAGGTAGTATAGGGGGCGGACAAAATCACGAACAGTCTTCCCTTAGGGTCCCTTTGTAACTGTACTATAAGAATCCCCCCAAAACCCTATTCTAATTATTCAGGCCCCTATAGTAGCCCTAAACCCTAAACCCTAAACCCTGAACCCTAAACCCTAGCCCCTATATTAGGGTGTTGGGGTTTGAGGCCCAAAGCCTGCTTCTTTGGGAGGCGAGAGAGTTCCTGGGAGCGACAAGCGGATCGTGACGGTCTCCGGACCGATCCAGCCGCGTGGAGCAAGCTTTGATGTGTATACATGGGTGGTTGTCAAAATTACGGCGGCACCTAATATTTAGGGTACCCCAAAAGGGATCATAATTTTGACAACCACCCATATATATATATATATATATGAGGCAGGAACCTTTATGTATGATTTGACCTCTTTCTTTGTTTTCATACTAGCCTATACTACTGCTACGATTAACAGAGTTATCGAATAGGGCCATCACGCTCCTCTGAAGACTGCTTCAAAACCCCAACACTAAACCCTAACCCTAAACCCTAAGCCCGAAAAACAAGAAATATAATAAAACAAGAGCCTACCTACCTCCCTAGAGGCGAAACAGAGAGACTACACCGTGTGTTTCTTTCGCACTGAACCCCAAAGACCTACCCCTAAGCTCTAGGGGAGAGGACGCCGTGGGAACCTATTCTTGGGATAGGTTGTTTTTTAAAAAGATTATGAAACATTCGGACACGGTATCACGAGAATACTGTGAGCAGATACTTCATTTTTTGAATTCATTCCCGTGCATGCGAGTTCATGCCCTTCATGCCCCGTGCACGCGAACGCCCCGCAAAACGGAATAACAACGATATACCCTCCAACTAACCTATTGTTGGGACAGGTGCTCGAACGAAAATTACTGTGAAACATTCTTGTTGTTAAATACACGGTGAATCTGAAAGGTCTGGGGTTCATGGTTGAACAATAAACCCTATAAGGCTTCAAGGTGTGGGGACTACAAACCTGAAACCCTATAGGGACCCGCCCCTTGTGGAGCATTTAGGGTTTCACGTGTAGGGTTTACGGTGAAGTGTCTAGGGTTTTCTTTTCAAGCTCATCTATGCGACTCGAACGATTTCTGATGGGAGAGCGGGCGTGCAGCTTCGCACAATGGCACACTGTGGGTCGAAATGCAACGGCAGCAAAGAGGCCGCAAGCAAAAGGCAAGGCAACACGTTTCGGACAGGCAGGAGCAGAGACCAAATGGTTGGGTTGCAGGCCAGCCATTTGAATAGCCCAGCCAAAATGACTTAGTAGAGGGGCCCCGACTAAAGCAGGTAGACCATTAACTTTCAGCCTTTCGCAAAATCGCCACGTTCGTTGCAAGAAGGGACCTCCTCCCCTGCAGCGGCTGAGTTCCCTTATACCATCTCTTTTGTTTTCTTTCTGTCCCTTGTTCCTATGTCTCCAATTTTGTCGATTGTAGGTATTCAAGGGAAGTGCTAAGCTACTAAAGAGGACAAATAAGGTTTCCCTGTCCCCTTTGGCTGTCCTGAATTAATCTTGTCTTTTCTCAGTCTGCACTCTGCGAGAGAGGAATGGACAGTAGAAGGGAAACAACAACGCATGGGCAAGAATGCTTCTCTCTCTTTTCTTATTGAGATGACTGGGCACATAAGACTGAGAAGAGACTCCCCTCCTGTCTGAATCTCTGCTTTGGCTCTTATCTTGCAGAGGAGAAGAACTTTTATATAAGGAGAGGAACCAGGAACAGACACCAGAGAGAAAGTGCAAGGAGCTGACAAGAGTGCTTCTCTCTTCTCTTTTTGACAAAAACCGAGGGAAAGAGCGTGAAAACAAGAAGCTTTGTTTTGTCCGTTGCAGAAAGGGGGTTGATTTCCCGTGTTCGCTCCCGTTTGCCTTCTTTCTGCGCTCCTATGTCTTCTGTTCCTTTTTTTGAGGAGATTCAAAGGGATAGATAAACGAAAAAACCCCTGCGCTGTCCTTGATCTTGTCTTTTCTCAGTCAGCGAGAGAGGAAGACACAGTAGGAGGGAAGCTGGACAAGAGTGCTCCTCTCTCTCTTTTCTTATTGAGAAGACTGGGTACATAAGACTGGGAAGAGACTCCCCCTCCTCTCCGATTCTCCGCTCTGGCTGTTTTCTTGCAGGGCAGAAGAACTTTTATACAAGAAGAAGGGGCCAGGAACAGACAAGAGAAAGAAAAGTGCATGGAACTGACAAGAGTGCTAAGAGAAAGGGAAGAAAGCTTTGTTTTGTCCGTTGCAGAAGGAGGCTCCCTCTTCCCTGGAGCAGGGTTGATTTCCCGTGTTCGCTCTCATTTGCCTGCGATCCTATGTCTTCTGTTCCTTTTTTAGGGATAGATTGGTTTCCCTGTCCCTTTGATGTCCTTGATCTTGTCTTTTCTCAGTCAGCCAGAGAGGAAGGCACAGTACTGGACAAGAGTGCATCTCTCTCTGTTTTCTTGAGAAACAACGGATAAATAAGCGGAAAAGAAGAAACTCCCTCTCCTCTCCTCTAGATCTGTTCAGCTCTGATCCTGGGAAGTAAAAACATGAACACGCAAGGAAACATCTCATCCTTCTCTCTTCTCTCTTCTCTCTGGTCTCTTCTCTCTTCTCTCTTCTCTCTTCTCTCTTCTCTCTTCTCTCTTCTCTCTCCTCGCTCCTCGCTCCTCGCTCCTCTCTCCTCTCCCCTCTCCGCTCTCTCTCCCTAGAGCAGGCTTGAGTCCAATTATTCTCCCACTGCTGCCTTCTTTCTCGTGCTCCGACGTCATGTGTTCCGTCTTCTCTTCGAGCAGATTGAAGGGAATAGGTCGACAAAAGGTTTTCACACTCCCTCTCACTTCTTCAGCCTCTTCTTTGCCGTGTTCTTACAACGGAGAAGAGTAAAACGTAAGAAGATGAGGAGTCAATCTCACTACCTTCATGCCTTGTCGTCTTTCTTCTGTTCACTTTTGCTCTTACACACGCGAAAATTGAAATGCAAGAAGATTAACTGACGAGAAGGCAGGGAAGGCGACAGTCTTTGGCTCGCTGCCAAAATGAGAGAGCGACGCAACAAGGACATGACAAGAGTGCTTCGCTGTTCTCTTTTTGTGAGGATCGGGCAAACAACAGGGGGAAGAAATTCCTTCTCCCTCTTCTCCCTGTTCTTTGGCTCTCTCCTTACACAAAGACAAATAAAAACACAAGGCAAACAAATTTCAGTCACTACGTTCATCCGTCCTCGGGTTTCTTTTCCCCTGCTGTCGCTCTCTCCTTACAGAAAGACATTCACATATACAAGGCAAACCAAAACCACTCACTACGTTCATTCTCCGTCCTCTTTAGTTTCCCTCTTTGTTCACTCTGTTCTTACAGGGAGGAACTGAACATGCAGGAGCACACCCCGATCTCGATACC